TCAAAACCAACCCAGTCCTACAATGTACGTGCACTGAAAATTTTTAGATCTGGTACTACCGCTAATCCTCACAGCATTTTATTTCGCAACACTTCTGCTCAAGTTTACACAGCACGGACGTTCTAACACTCGGAACAATATTTTTGGGAAGTTGTACATTTCAATTATTCGTGTCACACTTGTGAATGAAAAGCACCTTCCTGAAATCGGAACTGTTTCCTTCAACAGACTTGTTTGTTCAATTGTTTGTGTAAGAAATGCTACGAAATCTTGAAACAGCCTGTTTCGACAAAAATATATGCGAACATGGAGCTACTGTCCCGCGAAAGTGACACGCTGGTTCAAACTATCATGGTTTTAAAATGGCGAGTGCAAACATTTCTAGGTCATTACTTCAAAGCGATGGGCCAAACGTCCCCATTGTCATCCCGCCAAATCCACAAAGCGTTCCACGTTGTCGATGATATCCTACATATGAATGCCATAAACCCCACCGCCCTTCAGCTTCATGAATGCATACCTTGTGAACAGGCTTAGAAATGCATAAACGAATTGTCTTCTGTATGGACCGGTGACATCTCTCTTGTCCTCCTTGAGACCACTAACCCATCATTGGCCAATACGTGTTTCATCCAATAAACGCTTATATCCGAAGTGAAAAATCGGTTTGTGTGGAAAAAGGCGGATATCCTCGCTGTGCACGAATCTGGCCCCACTTAAGGGCGGATGAGAATAAAATTGGGGGAACAACGTTCAGCCGGTAGGTCGCTTGAACATCCTCTCCAAGCTGCTCGAAAAGGCAACGGCATGACAGCTGTCGTTGTGCCCAGACCGTAGAGGTATTTCGTGGCGGTATGGTAGCGATCCGTACATTCTCGGCTCTCCGGCTGCTCGCTGTTGGTCGGCACCAGCTTCCCTACGCGTTCTTGCTAGGCGTCCACAGGCACGCCAGGACGGCGTGCCTGTGGACGCCTCTGCGTACGCGACTTCCCGAGAACAATATGTGCATGTGGAGCCCCGCTGGTCAGCTTAGGAGCCGGACTATGTCCAGCGTCCGACTCAGCACGTGGGGGCTGCGGCACACCCGACACATCAACACACACGTCTGAGCCGCACAGCTGGGATGACACGGGTGACTGCATATTGGACGGCATCATGGGACCGGTCAGACACCATGCAAAGCTATACCTTTGTGCACTGTGGACACCGACCAAGGTGCCCACCCCCACCATATGGACGGTCAAAATATCGGAACGGGGCGCAAACGGCACCACATGCATGGAGCGAATTTCGCCGTCTCGAGTCTCATGGTGTATACGCTCAAATCGGCAGGGATCCAGCACAACCGCTAGCTTATGTTGGAAGTGGTTCGCTGGATTTTTCGCTGGAGGGGTTCACAGCCCTGTGAACCCCTCTGCGTAACTATGCCCCCTAGTTTTAATGCATACGGCGCCTCACCACATTCGCCCCAATCATATTCATTTGCTAGTTCCTGCACCATCCCATTCATCAATTGCACACGCACACACGCACGAGTTACCCCTCCCCTTCTGCCTGCTCCTCCTTTGCAACACCTTGACATCATAAGTTGCACGTCTATGCGAGCCATCACTTAGCTAAAATTGGTTTAATACCATCCACTTCAAACATCCATAGAACGAAAATGTGTTGCCCATTTCAAGCGTGTCTGGTCAATTTGCCAGCAGCCTAGCACCGACGCGGCTAGGGAGCCAGCTTCGGCTGTACCTAAGCTGGGCGACGACTTGTTCCCTTGTTTAACCTCTACGGTGACGACCTACATTTTGGACGGCGCTCGTCTGTGCCTCGTCCACGATGAGTTGCTCTTCCGCTCCTTTGGCCACGTCGACTGTTTGCAGAACCCCACTGCCGCACACCAGCCCTAGGCGCCGACTCGTCCAGCATGGAGACATGACCCCCGGCGTCTCTATACCCTCGCCTCCCGCCTGCCGGAGGGAGCTTTGCAGGACATCTCCCTACGGTACGATCTGACAGGCCAGGAGGATGGCAGCGCCCCTGATGAGGCGGTGGAGTCAATCGGTCTGACAGGCCAGGAGGATGGCAGCGCCCCTGATGAGGCGGTGGAGTCAATCGGTCTGACAGGCCAGGAGGATGGCAGCGCCCCTGATGAGGCGGTGGAGTCAATCGGTCTGACAGGCCAGGAGGATGGCAGCGCCCCTGATGAGGCGGTGGAGTCAATCGATCTGACAGGCCAGGAGGATGGCAGCGCCCCTGATGAGGCGGTGGAGTCAATCGATCTGACAGGCCAGGAGGATGGCAGCGCCCCTGATGAGGCGGTGGAGTCAATCGATCTGACAGGCCAGGAGGATGGCAGCGCCCCTGATGAGGCGGTGGAGTCAATCGTTGGATAGCGAGCGCCCGGCGTGGCCTCCGCTTGCGCCCTACAGTATATACGGTCGGTGCATTCCGGAGACTCGGCCTGGCCGGTCTGTCCTTAGGCCCTTGTCGCCTATCGTACATGAGTCGATGGCGGGATCTCTATCCGTGCCAAGCATCCCGCCACCACGGGATTATAAGGCCCGGTGTACACCGCGTCGGAAGAGGACGGGCTGTGTCATGATCTCCCCGAGGCGCTGTGTACCAACGGACAGATCCAGGTACCGCTGTACATAACGCCGCATACCGGGCGGCCCGAACTGATCCCTGGCTACAGCATGACCTACGCCTCTCCATGACGTCACGCCTGAGGTCAGGTGAGGGGCGAAGAAAAAAATACCCATCGACTGCCTCCTGGCCTGAATATCGATTGTGCCGTAAAGTAGTGTCGCCCTTTAAACTCGTATCAGCACTGGACCTAGACCGCAGTCATCTGGCTCCTACTGAAACATGGCTGTAAGCCTTACCGTATTGCTCGGTAGTGTTCCGCGCTTATCACCACATTCATGGCCTTCATCATTTCTGTATCACTTCAGCTACCGCAAGGAGCTGGCAGCAGGATGCGAATCCAGCAAAAGTGTGTCAGCCCGGTTTAAGTTTTCCCTATCGATTACAAATCGCGCAGCATTCTTTCCCCGCTTGCATTGCCTCTGGTGCCGCAGCAGATTTTTTCCAGGACGGAGATGCGCCTTTCACCGACCGTGCTCGGACTCAGGGCAAAGAGCAGTCAGTGCATCGGGCTGGACACAGCAACACATAGAATAAAGAGAGATGGTGTAATCATAACAAAAAAATCAGCGCACGCGCACTAGATGGGTTTAAGATAAGTGCTCGACTACTCGGAGCTATCGCGACAGATCAGAAAAACGGACGGCGAACAGACAACTGATTCATCCAAAGGACCCATCTATAACGATGCGGACTCGGCCCCTGAGACGTCACGCCCGACGCGACATGGATCGGCGAGGGCCATAATGAATCGATATAGATCCTTATGGCCGCCTTCAGCGGCTAAATCAAGACAGCCTCGGCGTATGCAAATAAACAAGTCGTCGCACCGAAGCACACTTGACTGGCCGCGGTCACCAAGTCCACCCATGCAATTTTCGGCCTCGAGCGTCGTTCATGTCCTATGCTGTCACAAACAGGCCGTTGGAACCCGCCGGCTAACGTGTGACCGCGTTGTCATCGGCCTCTCGGGCGCCGTGGCGTTTCCGCCCAAGACTCTGGCCTGGGCGTGGTCTTGCGGCCGGTTTTGCCAAGTAGGGTGCGGAATTTCCGTTTGGTGCGAGAAATTTCCGGACGATATGCTCAAACGGAGGAACTTTAAGACGGTGTCAGCTGCGGTTGGGCTTTCTTAAACTGGTCCCTGGCTTGTGTTTTTATGGTGATCATTGTATGGTGTTTTGTTGAGGATCAGCTGAAAGCTCAAGTTGTCGCTGTGGCTCATGCTAAGTGGGAGGGCATGCACGGCGATGGTACCTTGAGCTCCGCTGGTGTTAGCAGTGGAGTCGCACCGGGTCAGCGGTGGCAGTCGTCTCTGAGACACTGCCTTCCAGTCTGTTTTTGCCACTGGACGCAGTACGTGAGTTGGAATGTGCATACCGCCCTGCAGCCTTCGGGCTGCTGCGGCGATGACATATCCCTGGTGCTAGTTTCCGCTGCCGCCGCCAGGGGCGCCATTGTCCCCGTGAGCTGGGTGGTTCAATTCTCAGGCCGCACGCTTTTTTAAGGACGAATTGCTTTTTCCTGCAGGTCTGTTTTCCACACAGTTTTTGCGCTACACAGGGCAAAAATAAATGTATTTACTTTAGTGCTGCCATGGGCTATATTCACAACAGAAATGTATGAAAAGTTCGAAAGATCTAAAGCATGTGCATAACGCAAGCCGGTGCCTAGGTTTTGTGGATTATAGCCGGGAGAGATACGCTTTCTATCGCTTAATTTAAGCGCAATAATCATGTTAAAATCGACCAGGAGTCCCAAGGCCATGGCGTATTCTTTGAATAGTTAGAGTGAAGGCATTGCAAACATCTGTGGCTGTGCCAACAACGGCTGCGACAACCGTGCTCTGGCATTGGTCGGTGTGAACATATTGCCACTTTGGTTTGCTGGACCGGCTCCATCCGCAAGCACTATGCTGGATTAGTTGCTTGCTGGACATATTTGTGTAAGTGTTTCCTGTCTCGTTGGCTTCCAGGATGTTTTCTGCCCGCCGGTGAGTCAACAGTCATCAATCGACAGTCAACAGTAAGAGTCAAGGCTTCACGCGCTTCTTCATCCCTCTCTGTCTGTGAGTTAAAGTGAATTGCGTGAGTTGAACTGAATTATGGCAGTTGAATTTAGATATTGTGCGAGCCGTGGCTACCGTGCTGTCTCAAATGGAGTGTTCCACATTTTGCATGGGCTTTTAAACCGAAATGGCCATTTGGATGCTCCTTCGACGCTGTTCACAATCATGCCGTTCTTGAGACCTAAGCACCTCTATTTTCTGAGTTACAGGCCAGCGAAAATGGGGAAAGGTACATCGGGGAGAGCAGCTCAAAGTCACCTTGGTATAAATGACGTCAAAATCACGCCATTCAATGCCGGCCATTCCATAAGCCATGCGGCGATCAAGGTCAAGAGACAAATTATTATCCAGGCGTTCGCATATGGCGCACGTGAGCGCGATTTCCGGACACAACGGACGTCAGCAGACTCTCAATTCATGTTGTGCAGAGACGATAATGAAACCAAACCATGACGTATTCAGGAGCATGCTTACAAGAGAATTACGCTGTCTAGGGCTGTCCTCTCCACTTAAAAGCATACCAATGGCCATAGGTGAGCTTGTTTCATCACGCTTGATGTTTGCTTCAAATCTTGAAATGTGAAACATTCCTTTTACGAGGCATGCCAGTAGTTATAAGTGGGCTTGTTTAATCACATCTGACGCTCGCTTCGCTATCTTCAAATGTGAAACATTCCCTTGCAAACGGTTGTCCACGCTTTGTGTTTTTCTTCAGCTCGGAACGGCTCTTTGTGGAATGAACTCGACCGCCGATGGCCCGCAGACACGCAATTGTTTCGCGGCCGATTGATTGCGGGTGTGTTGCAGCCCACCCCTACTCAGAGTGATTTGATTGCAGCAGCGGAGACGTGGTATGGTGGCGAATGTGTCGTCTGTTTTTCGCTCCACTCGGGTTATGACGGCAATAGTGGTAGCGCTTAGCAATATACAAAGGTGGCAGTCTCGCGCGATGCAATACAATGGGTGATGTGAACTCCATGCGGAATGTTTCACATTGACCCTGTTTAATTTGTGGGGCGCGAGTTGCTTGACCACATTCGTCTCGCTCAGCAACAAAAATGCGACGTTTGTGCCGTTAGCCATGTGTAGCCGGAGCCAGGTGTGACGTTCTCAGGCATGTACATGTGTATCCCGTGCCAGGTGTGACATAAGCTATTCGTCATCTGTGTGGTATAAACTTCACCTGGTTTGCACGACGTTTCTGCGATCGTAGCGTGCACTCCATGTGATCTGCGTGATGTGAACTCCGATTAAATCTGTGTCATCCACGTGACCCTTAGGTAGCCTGCATGTGACGTGTGAAAAGCTGTGAGAAGTTCGCATCTGAGGTGCATTGGAAAAGCACTTTGTCACCACTGATCTGTGACAACAGCACTGATATAGCATCGGTTTGTGGTATATTTATGTTACCCGCATAAAATAATCATGCTTGTAGCTTCTATGCCTGGATGCAATTTGGGGATCAGCTTGCTCATACAGCAAAATATAAATTTTTCGACATAAGCTCTACACAAGCGCACGCTGTAGGCATTGGTGGTCACACCAGCCCTAAATTTTGTGTTTGGACTGGAATGCTCTGTTGTAATTTGTTTCCATTTTCGCAACCTTGTCACAAAAGCCCTCAAACAAGTTGCATTTTCGACAACGATGATATCCGGTAAATCAGAAACTTCACCTATGATTGTGTGGTCCACCCGATCAGGGGTGCTATTTTGGTTCGTAAAACATCTGAATCTTTGCACTGGTTTCATAAAATAAGTGGCGAGAGTAAAATGCGTCGGAATGCTTTTTGGCTACGGATCAGTTTCACAAATTTCATAACAGGATGCTGCTGCAGCTGAAACTACTTTACACGGCTTTAGAAAGGCGCATACATCCTCTTTCGACTCCGCTATTTCCAGCTTACTCAAAATGTTGCTAACATGGAAAGCCGTGGCATAAATGAGTCCGTTAGATAGCCACTTTCGGGGCTTAGTGAGATGATTTCACATAAGCCTGTTGCCTTTCCTTCAGTCTTGAAAGTGAGGCTAACCTTTGCAAGCTCCGATGGCTCGGCAATCTGACCAGTACCGTGTTTGCGAGCCCAGACGATTCTCCTCGGCCGGCGAAACATGTACCCGACCGAGATTAAATCTGGATCGGATTTCATCATGCTATCATTTACTCACAAGCAGAATCTGAGGTCATTTGAGATCATCTTTTGACCTGTTGTAACCTTGACAGGGATGGCCTCGATCTTGGTACGATGGGAAGAAAACCGTTGTGCTTTGAGTTGTTCAGCACTATGAGCACTACGAGAAAATAATGGCTCATTCTCCGAACGTTTCGCAAGTAAACTTTCAATATTTCAGCATAAGTGCTCATCATGACTGCGCTTACATTTTCCAGCAAGAAGGCTGATATAGACCAATCCTGTGTGTGAATATCAAGTGTCTAATGCAGCGCCCTACGAGCATAAGTGACGCTGATGCACCGTAGTTTCAAGTGTTATCATGAGGCCTTGACGGTGATCAGTGGGAGCGAAGACTTCTTAACATGTAAGTGGTAAAATGCCTTTTCACCTGGGTCGAATGGACTGACCACAGACGCCACTATCACTATGAAGCTGATATCAAAATGCACGTGAATGAAGTCAGTCACGTAAGTATTTGAAACATTCTCATACGCCACATCTGCACATAA